ACTTGCGCCATGACTAAGGACACTTCAAAGATATTTGTAGCGGAGTGGATATTTCGCTTACTGGATAAGCTGCGAGGCTGAAAATCCGCTGGGGTATTCTGCTTTCAAGTGCGGTCTTCATTCTCTTGGACGCGAGCTTTCCCGCAGGTTGGCCTGAGAAATACTCAACTCTGCTGAAAAATCAGAAACGAGTGCATTTTGCAGAGAACGACCGCTCGAGCAACACTTCCACTTTTCAGTGGATTGGAAATTTGCATTTTTTCAGAAAGCAAGCATTTACCGAAAAAACGACCGAGCTTCGTGCAAAAACTGGTAATCTTGTACCTGGAGGTCCGTGCAACTCTATAATGCACCACCTTCACCCCAACCGACGCCCTTCCCACTGCATGCTGGAAAGGGCTAAATCACGGTCAATATCAGTCTAAGTGTTAGGCTACAGCGCAGGGATTATTTCTGCTATTAGCGACTTGCAAGTTTAGTGCGAAAACGCATGACCGCACCGGCAGCCTGGTGCGTTCCAGTCTGGATTTTTATTTAACGCCTCAAGTTTCTTATAAATCAAATTCTTATCTTGGCTGCTTCCGGAGAAGCGTAGCGAGGATACAGAAGGTGAGAAAAATGATCAGTCATTACGGTGTTCTATGGTACCAGTGACGATGTTTTAAAAACTGTTACGCATATCTGTGATCTCATCAAAGCCATGCAACAGAGCTGACCGGAAAGAAAGACGCCGGAAACTCGCTACTTGTTCTTAAAGAACAGCGACGATCTGATAATATCATTGGTAATTTCGTGATAAGCACATCCTTCATCGTCAGTTCGTAAAATTGCCTTACCCTGCTCGCCTCGTCCCAGATCTATTTTGTCGGAACTTGCTCACCCTCACTGCTTGGCTGGTGCTGGATGGATTGTTATGTTCCCAGCCATTTAACAACAGTTTTTATGTATTTCTTTTCTCGACCAGGCGAATTGTGCTGAATATCGAGGTCCACTAATTCGAGAATTTCGGAGATCTGATATCATCGCAGGATTGTGACTCGAAGGATAATAACAGTTGAACGAACGAATGCTGCAGTGACTGAATCGCCACGAGACGCTTCGCTCAATTTTGGTGATCTAGTTTATCCTTAACTGAACCTGCATAGTATTATTTCAGTAAAATTTCCCATGAAAACTGGCTGTAAAGGGGTTAGACAACTTTCAGTGCTGCATCTGGATAACTGCTTCTGAAACTGTATCCTCATTTTATCCAGATAATTTTCTGTACTCTTGCTTCTGCAAATGCGTCCAAATAATTGCTTTTTTTTTTAAAAAAACCTTTTGCAAAAGCGCCTGTTTTTCGCGCAAAAACCTGTTGTATTATTTTGTCCTGGGTTATCCCTACACTTTACTGTCTTATAGCAGCCGTACGCTGAGCGATCCAAACATTCAGATCCCCATTTAATTACCAGTTTTCGGATGTTTATGTGAATAGTAAAGAAGTAAATTTGAATGCACAAGAAACAATTAAAGAATATGAAAAATTATGAATTCTATCAATCTTCAGTGAGCGACTTCGGCCATCTGCAGCTGTAGTAATAAGATGATAAGCGCAGCACACATGTTGTGGGAATTTATATTCACAATTCAATCGCAGATCAAATTCCATAAATGATGCCTAGGCATATAATCAAGATTGTTATTTTTCCTGACCTGATACCATGGCAGTGAGTTAAATTAGCAGTTTCTTGGTACCACCTTCATATTCTGAAGAACGATTCGTACCGCATTATCATATGAGAGAGCTACCTGGCTTTAAAAAATTGACGGCACATTTTTGCAATCTCTTGGATAGGATTACGTGGCGGACCAAACGGCTAACAAGCATATTCAGGATTCGACAGCACCGGAGTACAACAGTCGGTTTCCAAGTTCTGTTTCAGAAACAGCACGATTCTAAGTAAGCATATTTCCCCTGGAGATGACGAAGTCAGAAACCTATCAGCATCTCTATGATGCTTAAAAATAATCCTCGCCCTACTCCTCTCCTATATTCATTTCACTTTCTCACTTTCTTTGTGCCTTTTCTTTCTTTGTGAATCATCAGTACAGCCTCTCATTTGCCATATATATGTACGCATGTATCATAGAGGATATCCCCTACGATACATGCGTACATATATATGGCAAATGAGAGGCTGTACTGATGACTCTCACTCCTACTCACATACTGTGCTTCGTCCATGTTTACGGCTAAGGGATGAAACATAGACGGCATACAAATGTGTTACCTTGCGCATGATAATTAGTCCAGTTACTTCTCTCCTGTTCTACTATTTCAAGTGAAAGGCTACACAGATACTTTGATTTTCTGTAGCCTCAACACAGGCATTCTAGTGCTACCGTTGGAGTTGGCGAATTTTTCATAGGGCTATGACCTAAGTTTCATCTTCTGATGTTGAGCTTGATGAAGGTGATCCTGCTTTCCAAGTTTTCTTCGTGCATCTTTACAATCAAAAACGCCCGATGTGTTATGTCCCAATATAACTTATATAATCCTTCAGCTCTCCTCCAGATTCTCCTCCACATCGGCAGACAGTTGTGGGATGTGCGTTAGAATTTACGTGCTCAGGAAAAGGAAAGCATTTGCAGTTCAATTCACGGTGCTTGCTGGGAAGGATGCTGCTGACCGGTCCCCAGAACAAGTCTTTTTGCAGCAAATTGCTGGTGGAAGCAATTCTATAGTTGCGCTGAGAGCACTGGCCAGTCGTTTCTTCAAAGTCGCGCCGCAGTAGTGTCCATTGAATGGACCTTCACATTTGCTGTGCTGAAGTAAACACGCTGAATTGTCCATCTTCTGGAATTTTCAAGTGTTTCTGGTTTTCTGGATTGTTACTGTCCACACTGCTCATCTGCTATTGCGGTGTGCACTTCGTAAGGCATTCTCTTGTCACCTGATGTGAGACAAACTGTTGCTTGACCGCATGTCAACTATCTTTTGACCTTAGCAACATTTGAAAGAAGGGGTTTGAAATAAGAGAGATAGCAAAGTGAAGAAGAGCACTACCTGGCCCATTGGACTTTCAGAGGCACAGTCTTGGTTGCAACTGAGTCTGGTTGCAATTGGGTTTAGTTGCTTGGTTGCAACTGAGGACTGCAACGTTGAAGATACGCTCTGCTCTGTCTGTGTTTACAGCTAAGGATTGCAACAAAAATTGTTTTCCAGTATGTCCATCGCCAAATAACATGTTTGGGTCTATTAGCTCCAATCTTCATATTTTAATCACATAAACAGTACAAGTGAAAACACTCAGATCGCTGTAGTGGGATCAGTTACCACATTGAAAGTTCGAAAATTTTTAAAGTTTTAGACAAACTGAAGTGAATGGTGGCGGTCAGCAGTGGCATCATTGATGTGCCCCTTTTGTGTCACAGCATATTTGCATGATCGCGGAAGGTCAATTCATCATCTGCAACCAATTCAGTTTTATTTCCCTTGCCTTTGCAATGCCGTTTTACTATACTCTCCTGTTCCTGTGCTCCACGAAAATCATGCAGTTGCGATCTCTCTGTACCGCTATCGCAAACATCTCTTTGCTCTCTTTAAAAATTTTCATTTGCGCAAATTTATGCTATACTTGCAAAATCGCTCCTCATCGATGAGAAAGAAGTGCCCACCCTTCAGTGAGTGACCATTCTACTACTGAGAAATGATGAGAAAGTAGAGTTCAATTTGTTCGTTATATTTTTGTACTCACTGTATTCTTGTAAAATTCCAGTATATGAAAAAATATTTACACGGCGAAAGGTATTTTTTCGAGATTTTTTATCTAGAAACAGCAGGAAGTGTGCTTTTTTCTCTCTCTCACAAAAAACACCTTTTTAGAAAAAACCCCACTTTGATACTAAATGCACACAAACAGTGTCTTTTTTCTGTTACTTTTAGAATTTGTTTTCAAAATCTCCGCCAGTGAGATACTGTGAGCACCTGTTTCTGATTTAGCTATAGATTTCAAAAAACAGCGGCTACGAAGAATCTGTAGGTCATTTCTACTAAGAGTTGTCTTTATTTTAAACTAAGGTGGAGGCGAATGGACTTCGTAATAAACTAAGCATATCTGAATTTAAAAAATTTTTACACTTCAAATTCGCAAATTTCTTGTTTTTTAGCGAAAAAGTGATATGATCCGACCAGAAAGTGAAATGTAGAGATTAGACTCTCAGAACAGTCACTGAGACCGAAGTCACTCATTTTTCCCACAGTTACAGGTGTGTGGTTCTTTTTCGTTGAGCCTAGAATTTAATGCACAGGTCAATAGGGGCTATTATTAGAATCAAGGAAAATATTATATAAAATGTTTTTAGCGATGCTGAAAACTCATTATATAATACTTAATAACTGAGGAAAGGGGAAAACTATAGTGCGTTTGACTAGATAATTTTTCCTACCGTACACACTGTTTATGAAGTAAATTCTTTGAGAAAGGTTTTGAATGTTCATTTTATTCAACCCAATATGCAGATTAAATTTTTTTAGCAGTATAGTCGGGGCCGTATGTGTATACTAGACTCAAACGGCACTTTTAGGAAAGCACCACGTTGAACCATATGTAAGAGTATAATTTGAATATTTCTTTTGACACCTTGTCGACTGCACTTCACAGCATCATTCTCCAGTGTTGTGCAAGTAGGAGCTTTTCCAGTTACTTCGGCCATTACTCATTACCTGCTGGTCAGTCAATTAGTGATTCTGAAGTTCGTCTGAAAAAGAAGTACACGTAAGAACAAAAAAATTCAACATATATCTATTGAGAACAATAAAATTCAACATGCACCTCTTGAGGAAAAAACCTTTGTAACAGCTGAGGAAAATAAAGTTATGCTTTTAAGCAAACTGCAGCCACATTTGGGGATCAATTCCTTACAATACCAGAAAAAAGAAGCGATTGCTGTAATTGTAATTCGCAACGTATCGACAGTTTGTTGGGAACATCGGCAGAGATTGATTTGCTTTCAGTTCCATGTCGATACCTTCGCCACGACCAAACTTGGATGAATATGCACAGATCGAGCGCCTACGAGATGCATTGACTGAGCAACTGCCAGAGGGCATTCCTGCTGACCTCAACACCGATCTCAATTTGCTCCGATGGATTCGTGGCTACAAAGCCAATTTCGGCAAGATTACTGAGGTTTGTCTCTTGAGGGTCGCTTCGTTGCATCCTTGCATCACTGACACTTTCATTTTTACATGGGATTTTTTTTTTCAAATTTTTTGCGACAGAAAATTAGTTGCATACAGAATGTTACGACAAAGCCGAGACTGACAAAGGGGGTGGAAGATAAGATTGCTGAAGGAGTTGAGGAGCTAAAAAAAGTGGGTTAAGACGTTCTGATACACTGTGTCGTGAAAGTAGCAATCCTAAAATCTCAGCCTAAATTCACACTAAAGGAAGCAGACTCATTTAGGTAGCAGTGCCGATAGTTTTTTTACAGACAAAAAATCATCCACAGTATCAATCTACCACTGATTTCTCATTCCTAAGAACTGCATGTGGAAGCGCAGAACAGCTTGCATCCGGAAAGATATTATTAGTTGAAAAAACTCATCGTTATCGCACAATTCATTCTCGAAGTAGCATGTGAAGTTTGAGCGTGCTAGCGAGACCGCATTATCAACTTGGTTTCAACTGAAACACTGCAAGCAAATTATTGATTATTATATTTGCAGAACTTTTGTACGTATGTGGCATCTCGGAGGGCAGCGGGTTTCGACATCG